TCAGAGAGAGATTTACGACAGGAGATTTATTAAGTGATACGATACCCAAACTTATGGAAGCTGAGAAGTCTCATAAGAGGCCTTCAGCAAGGTACAGATCTTAGGATGCTAGGAGTTGGCTCTACCAAAGTCCAAAGTCCTGAGACCTGAATTTATGGTGTCCAAAGGTGGGGGCAGATTACAATCTGACTCCAGGTGTGACCCCTGGATTCTCCTGCATTCTTGCTCTGTGTAGGACCTCAACCAGTAGGGAGTGCATCTTTCTTCTCAGATCACTGACTCAAATACCAGGCTGTTTGGATGAAACTCAAAGACACACCCAATCACAAAACTTTATCATTTCTTTAGCTATCCCTTGATACAGTCAACTTGGCCCTTAAATTTAGCCACCACAATGATATAAATAAAACAAGAAATTTTTAAAAACAAGGAAAAAGGAATAAGGAGTAGAGGATTAAGGAACAGTCAATGAATAGGTACAGAAAAGAATTAAAATAACATCTGTATGATGGTGTGAGTCAGAAGAGTCAATACAATGTACTGAAAATCAGCTCACTATATTTTAAAAAATATATATTAGTGATAGATGTTTACACCATTGTTCTGAGCTTAGTAGACTAAGAGGAAAACAACAGATAGTCAAAACCAAATTTAAATATAAAGAAGAAAAATCATTGGACCACATTATAATACATTAACTGCATTTTACAATGGACATCAAACTAAATTTCCCACTGGTAAAAGTTTTGAACATTCCCATTTGCAATCTTAACTGCATTTCAGTGTCCTGCACTCCTCCCTACCTCTCTTCTCCAAGACTTTGCTTTCAATTACCAGGGTGCAGGTCAGTCTCATCCACTGGAGAAAGTCCTGCGAGGGCAAGGACTGTATATGTGAATATGTACACACTGAGCACTAGCATGGTGCTGTGTATTCTGTGCCTCTGTTCTACACACACACACACACACACACACACACACACCTACACTTGTACTGATTTGTGCTTCTAATATGCAGATCTTGCCTCCCTTCTAGATGGGACTCTGTGAATCTTGCAGTTATGGTTTGTGTCTGAATGTCCCCTCAAAGTCATAGGTGCAGGCTTCTAGAGTTTATAATTAATTCATTACCCAATGTTGTAATTATAGATGTGAGTGCTGCACCCGCCTTGGGCCAGATAGTTTGCATACAATGTAAGGGAGGCAAAGAGGCTGCTTGCCACTATTCCTCCCTTTTGCTATCGCTGCTTTTGTGGTTTTCTGCCACCATGAACTGTTGCCCTCTGCCATGTGCCACCCTGCCTTGGAGCCAGCCAAGTATGGACTGAAACCTCCACAAACTGAGCTAAATAAACCTTTCCTTCCTTAATTTTGGGCGTTGGGTATTTTGTCTTAGCAAAGAGGGTAAAGTCACCAAAACACTGCTCACTGCGAAATGAAAGTCCCAGCAGCTGCACTCTCTGGAGTACCTGCATAGAGTTTTTTATGTGAAAAGCTCTCTGTCATTAAAGCATTCCATACCTGAAACTCATAGTCTATCTCTCCTTGGGATGGTAATCTTTTGTACAATCTTTGAAATCTCCAAACATATATATTCTAAATTGTGAATGAATCTGACGTGCAAATGTGAATTAGAGCAATATAATAATCCCATAGACTGCAAATTAAGTTAACATGAGAAGGAGGAAATGCAGCTTCCTCATGTTCAGTGTTAAACAGAAAAAAGTTCCCAGAAAAATTTCCAGTTTCCTAAAACAAAGAGAATGTACATTCCTCCTCCCAACTCGTGATTTTGTTGACACCCAGGGTATTTCCCAGAAACTAAGAGCTTGCCATACTTTCACTTTCCACATGATGTATGTCAAACATGGCAATTCTTTCCAGTTGTCCTGAATGGACCCCAGAACTCATCGTATCATGAAAAAAGTGGAGAAGACTCTCATGTTTCATTTATTAGAGGACTACTCAGACTTCAAATCTGGGGGAAATAAAGGAGAAAATGTGCATTAACAACAAAGCTTCAGTTCATTATAGTAAAACATAGAGGCCTTAAGAAATCCAATCTGAACTTCTTTTAACACACTGATTCTTTGAAGAAACTCCAAATCAGACAGCTGTCAGGAAACTGACAGGACAATCTGCTGTTAAAACCACACTGAACATCTGAAAAATGCAGGTAACAACTGCATCATAAGCACATACAAAACAAAAATTAGTCACTAGCACTGGTAAAGCATTTAGCAACAGCCTGCCATAGATTCAACACTAACTTTACAAAGCTCTCTTAGTCACAATCTCTAATTCTTTCTGTTTATTCCTGTGGGTTCAAGTCCACATCTGGTGTCACCTCTCTATCCCACTACACTTTTGCTCCTATTTCACTACATATGTAACATTTCTATATATTATATATGTTACATTCACTAAAGTACATTTATATGCATGCAATTGTTTTAAATAAGTTAAGAAGATAGGGAAGAAACATGCATCTATGCTGTCTTCTATAAGTACATAGTTCCCTCAATAGTGATCTTGCTTTTCCATGCAAATTTGCATTCCCCGATGGGATTGTTTGTTTTCTGCCTAAAAACATTCTATAAGTGTTTCTTTTTTTTTTTTTTTTTTTTGGTTTTTCTCCGGTACCGGGAACCAAACTCACGACCTTGCACTTGCCAGGCAGGCGCTTTGCCGCTGAGCTAAATCCCCAGCCCTATAAGTGTTTCTTATAAAGGAGATCTTCAAACAATTTCCTGCAAGGGTCAGTAGAAACCTCCATTTTCAGTTTCAGATTGTCTGTTTCTTTGGGAGGACTTCAGAACTCTGTGTTTCATAGATGACTCCCTCCCTAGGAAAATCTCTCAGCAATGCTCCTTCCACTGAGTAAGGGCAGCACCTGCTGCTCTTCTCCATGGGCCTCTGTCAGCATGCAAACTGCACCCGAGAAAGGAACCACAGTGAACGTGATCAAGCCAGGTATTCTCAACCTGCCATGCCTGGGCTGCAGCCTGAACTGTGTGAGAGGGGCTGGATCCAGAAGTGGGTGTATTTGATCTATGTTCACAGTTACTAGGAATTTGGTCTCTAGAAATTGGAGTTTGAAGACCAAGAAAACAAAGGAAGAGGAAGCCCCACCTTGTTGGTCATACCCACCGTTAGTAAAATGTTAGCCAAACTGCCTTTGCCTGACTCTAGTGCTATTCAGTCCAGAGATGTGCAAATGATGCCAAGTACTGTTCTACATTTGGGGGATATATCTCTGTTCTATGAAGCTCCTGATATGAGCTTGAGTTGCAAGTGATCAATATGGAAATTTAAAAATAGAAAATGGGATGGCGATTAAAGAAAGAAGGAGCAAGTCAGACATCTCCGCGAACACACCCATTTTCAGAGACCTCACGTATGGGGAAGAACCCACCTTGATAAAGTGAGGAAGGTCAAGATGGGAAAAGCTGCTGGCATGAAGACCCCAAGACAAGAGGAACATGGGTAGGTCCAGCAGCTGAGAGACCCAAGTGAATCTGACTTCTGGAGCAGATTCAAAACTACTTGCCTGGAAAGATGTTAAAGATCACAGAATAAACAGAAAAGAAAAGAGAATCTCTCGTCATTTTTTAAATTTCAAGCACTGGTTTCTGGGTGTGGAAGAACAGTGGAGCACGGCAGCATCAGCAGACAACAGTGCAATCTCCCCATTTCCCTTCTCATTTCTGTCCTTATACAAGCAGGAGAAAAGCATGAAAGAGAATTGAAGAGTTTAAAATTTTCATCCCACTCTTGTGACTTGCTGAGAGAATTTGAATGCAAATATACTTATCCTTTGTCAGTTCTGTGATACTATAACAAAAAATAGTGACATCGGGTGTTTTTTTACAGAAAAGAGATTTGTTTAGTTCACCTTTTTGGAAGCAGAAATTCCAAGAGTGCCTGGGCCCTTCCGTACAGCCTCCAGTGAGGGCATTTGGGGCACATTCCACACTGTGGAATGTCAGAAAGGCCTGCACTAAGAAAGTGGTACAAGGAGCAGTGAGGATCACTAAACACACACACACACACACACACACACATGCACACACACACACACACACACACACACACACATTTTCCTGGGAATTTTCACAAAAACCATTACATACGTCCACAACAAAAGTAGGAATATTTCCTAAAATCCTAATCGTTCCCTCTAGGCTGAACCACTTAAGGTTTCAGCACATTTCAGTATCAGCACACTGAGTTCAATGTTACAGTAAATGAACCTTTTGAGAGAGCACAATCAAACCAAATCTAAAACGTAATCCTCCCCCAGACCTTTTGTTTTCATTGTAAAGTATCAATGTCCTTCAATTTGCATGGTCGTAATCAGGACAGGTTTTACTTATATCGTAGACAGCTGTTACAAAATAATATACAAATAATGCAATTATTTGTACAATTATTCACTGTACAAACAGAGGGGCAGCATGGTGAGGTGGTTCATGAAGAAGATTTGCAATCAAGGCTGCTTGAAGTCACTATACTTGTAGTACAATGATCTGAGACAAGAGGCGAAGAGTCTATGAAATTACGGGGATATTATCATAGTCTGCTATGATAGGAATGTAGTCTGTACTGGCTCTGGACGGCCTGTGCAATGCAGGGAGCGCCCTCCTGAGTCTTCTGGCTGTGAGTGCCAGCTGCCAGGGGCTCGCGAGCGTGTAATCCATGCCCTTTCCCTCACTGTGGTTCCCAGAGAACCACAGCTGCCCTGGAAGTGGGTTATTATCTTATGAAATCGGATATAAAAAAAACCGCTTCTTCATTCTAGGTTGTTCAGACTGCCCCCCATTCTTTAAAGTCATTCTGTCATATCCCATCTAAGGGTCATTTTTAAAGCATTAATAGTTTGTAAAACCTCTTCTAACACAGTACAGTATCTGAAGATCTGGCTGAGCAACTCTCTCAAACCTTGCCCAGGCAGAGTCCAGAAACTCCTTTTATGGTTGCAGCGTTTCACTTTCAGTTTCACATAGCTCTAAATCCGTTAAAGGGAAGCAGTACAATTCTTTCATTGGCAAATCCCGGGAAGTCTGAAGCCTCACAACGCTGGAGGGATAAATAAAACTCTAACAATCCACTGAGAGACAGAAGAGAGAAGCAAAACCAAGGGTCAGAGCAGGTAAGACGCTGACTTCCCTGCGGGCAGCCTCTCCAGCTCTGAAGGATCTCTGCTCAGGACAAGCAGCCTCTAAGCCCAGGGTGTGGATGGGAAGGGGTTTATAACAATGGCTGCTTTTTAAAACCACCAGAACCCTGAAGGGCTGGAGCTGAGCCTGAGATGGGACGTGAGGTCGGAGGAAATCAGATTTATCAAAGCAGCAGGTCCCTTAGTTTCACTACTGGGCTTGTGTTGAGTTAGGCACCAACGGACAAGGGAATGAACTTACTTTCTTTTGCTTGCCATTGTCTTGAGGGGGACACAAGTAAATTACCAAGCTCACTGATGAGTTTGCTGTCTTGAGGAGAGGAAAGCATAGAAATGAGATGCCTGTGAGCCACATTGTTGGGGATAAAGAGAGAAAAATACAGGAAGCCAGAGAGAAAGTCAAAGATCACAAAAGCAACTTAGTTTCTAGTCATGCATTTAGACTTGGTTTCAAGCTAAATTTCTTCCATCAGAATTAGACCCAGCTCAGTGACTGGAGTGTGTGTGTGTGTGTGTGTGTGTGTGTGTGTGTGTGTCCTCTAACTCCTTACCTGTCACCAACAGAATCCAGGCCCTTTATTTGAGTAAAGGGCTTCCTCCAAAGGAATCACCTTCCCTGCAGCACTAGGGGCAATTGTTTTTGTCACAGGCATCCCTATAGCAGAAGCTTTTGCTGCCCTCTGGAAACCTGTCCCTGAAATCCTGAGCAGGCTCTAGCCTCATTAATCACCTCTTTTCTGAGGTCTCCCTCTCATTCACAGACCCCTCCTCCACTCCTTTTCTTACCTCCTTTTTCCCATTTCTCATTCTTCCCCTCTACCAAATGGGAAACAGAACAAGCAGAAAACCTAGAAGTGTAGTGCTGAAAATTCAGGTATGATTTTGAACTACTTGTTACCTAGCATGTGCTTTCTGATTTCCTGATCCTTATTTCATAGTCATTTGTAGCATCTTCTGCAGTACTTGCAGTTGTGCACTCGCATCTCACCGAGTTCACGCTCACTCCCTGCGAAGCTCACGTAGCTCTAGTGTCAAGCACTGTTCTTACACACCCCTGTCCCCCTCTGAGTCCTTAGGGAGGTCCTTTCTCATGTGTTCCCATAGGCAGGTATTTTCACAAAGTTTGAGTAAGTAAATCTTTCAGGCTTCACTTTCGAGATGGCACTGTAAGGAGTTGTATGGGTCCTCACGCTACTGAAATGATTATAACTACTTGGGGTAGGAAGAAAGAACTCATTGAAAAATCCCTGCAAATTGTCCAAAGGCTATAGATCAAATAATGAACCATTTATTCATGAAGTTTTTTATTCATTATAAGAATAAATAAATAAATGTTTAATCTTTTATATATACGCAGGAAGAAAAATAAACTCTTAAATTCTATGCTGTTTTCTTTTCGAAACCTTGTGAAAATTTTTTTTCCTGAATCCAAAAGAAAGCTTTTCTGTGATAAATTGAATGGAAAGCATGGGTCATAAAAGCACTTGAATGTTGTGATGTCACTGTTATACTCAGGGTTTGTAAGGAACTACAGTTGTAATCTTTTTATACTTCTTCCACTTATACAAGCTTTCTCTCTGTTCTATTGATGTACACAAAGCTTTTGTTCATGCTGGAGAAAATCTACAGCTCTACCTTCTAAATGCAAGGCCTGGAAATTTGGAATCTGACTCAGTATGCATTTGTTCTTATAGACCAGAAAACACACTCAAAATGGCCCCACACATCCACATGTCAGAGCCACTGTGCCTCATTGAGAACACTGAAGAGAAGCTGGTGGTTAAACAAGAGGCTCTGAGGATCCTGTCTGCCATCACCCAGCCCCTTGTGGTGGTGGCCATCGTGGGCCTCTACCGCACGGGCAAATCCTACCTGATGAACAAGCTCGCTAAGAAGGAAAGAGGTGAGTGCCACCAGCAAGGCTTGGATGATCCCCTTCTATCCACCCACAGTGTCACCATCCAGCATGGGGATGTGAGGCGAGAAAAAGACAGCAAATATTGAAAGACAGTGTTTGGGTCACAGCTCATCTTTTTAGCTCCCTGGAAATGCAAGGTAGCGCTTTGTCTCTGATACATCACTTGTTTAAGTAATTAAGTTTATTGGTACATTTTAGGTATACATAATGATCACATACCTCATAGGGAATTTGTACATGACAGAACTTGATTGCTTTTGCCCCATCACCCTACCCTCCCTTCAACCCCTCTTCCCCTCCTAATTTACAAAAGTTTTGTTTCCATTTTTTCTTCTTTTCTCATCATTTCTTTTCTTTTTCCTTCCTTCTTTTAGCCCTCCCTCTTCCCCAGTTCCCCTTCCCATTTAAACATTTTCTTCCCATTGAACAATATCTGTTATTCATTTGGGCACTTATTCATACTTTCTGTTTCCCTCACCAGAGATATAATGCAGAATTTACACGTGCATGTCCACTTGATTCACTTAAGTGTAAGTCGTCAGGGTGCATCTATTTAGCTGGAAATTTCTCAAACTTGTCCTTTTTATGGCAGAGTAGTACTCTACTGTATAAAAAAACCCCACATATTCTTTATCCATTCATCAGTTGATGGGCATTTGGGATGTTTCCAAGATTTAGTGATTGCAAGCTGTACTGTTGTAAACATGGGTGTGCATACATCATTGTGGTATGAAGTTTTAAATTCTTTTGGGAAGACACCAAGAAGGGGAATAGCTGGGTCAAATAGGTTTGTCTGAGTTTTCATTTCTCTTCTATCCATCAATCAGCAGTAAAGAAGTTTCCCTTTTTTCCCATAGCCCCTCAAGCCTTTGTTATTGATTGTTTTCTTGATAATTGTCATTGTTTCTGGAGTGAGATGGAATCTCAGCATTGTTTCAATTTGCATCTCACTTATGACAGTGATATTGAACATATTTTCATATATTTATTTGCAATGTTTTCTTCTTCATCTGACATTTTCAGATGCCCATTTTTGAGTTATACACATAGCCAAGAAAGATTCATCCCAGGGATGCAAGGGTGGTTCAACATAAACAAATCAATAAATGCAATACGTGATATCACAGAACCAAAGAGAAAAATCACAAGATCATATCAATAGATGCAGAAAAGGTGTTTGATAAAGTCCAACACCCATTTGTGATAAAAATTTTACAGAAATTGGAATAGATGGTCTTTACCTTAACCTGATAAAGTTATCTATAACAAATCAACAGCCAGCATTGTATTAAATCATCAAAAACTGAAAACTTTAAAATCAGAAATAAGATAGGGATGTTCACTATCACTACTCCTATTCAATATAGTTCTGGAAGCATTAGCCAGAGCAATTAGACAAGAGAAAGAGATAAAAGGAGTAAAGATAGAAAAGAAAGAAGTTAAACTGACCTTCTTTGCAGGTAACATGCTACTCTACAAAGAAGATCCCAAAAACTCCACAAAAGTTTTCCAGATATAGTAACTAAATTCAATTATGTGTCTGGATATAAAATCAATACTGAAAAATCAATAGCATTCCTATACAGAAACAACAAACTCACTGAAATAGAAATTAGGGAAAACACACGTTTCATAACAGCATTGAAAAAAATAAAGTCCTTGGGAATCAATCTAACAAAGGAACTAAAAGAGCTCTGCATTGAAAACTACGATACTCTGAAAAAAAGAGAATGAAGAGGATATCAGAAAATGGAAAGACAGAGTTGCTAGGCGCAGGGAAGCCCAGGCGACGGGGGCGGCGAGCAGGCCCTCGGAGCCGGCCGAGCAGGCTCCCCCAGCCCCCCTGCGTCTTGCGCCCAG